TGTTCTATGGAATATTTAGAGCCAAGAAGAGCTATGATTTTTTTATTCCCATAGGCTGAGTGGTGACTCACATTAAACACACACACACTACACAGAAATACTGCACACCACATTGGATTGGACATTTATACACAAAACACACAATACACACAGACACACACCACACATATGCACCATACCACACACATTTATACACACACAATACACACAGGCACCACACATACCACACGCTTATGTACACACCACATACACACGTACATAGACATGCACACAACACACATATACACAGACACAGCACATACACACCCACATATATACAGCACACACACACCATACCACATACATTTATACACACACCACACACACATACACACAGAGACACAGTACACACACCATACCACACACATTCTATACACACACACCACAAAAACACACACACACACACACACACACACCACATCACACACACAGGTAGAAATTTAAGAAGAAAAAAATTTTGTAATGAAATGTTCGTTTTTGTCAGTCTAGAAAACACATTCTCGAATTTACTTTTGTGTGTAATCTGTGTGTTTTGCACAGGTCTTCTGACCAAGGTGCACTCCAGATTGAACAGGTCAGCAGTGGAACAATCTATGTTCAGAGAGCTTCCACTTAAAAATCTTATTTGGCCTATTTAAATACTAACTTTTGGTTTAATTTTCTTGAGAAACTTGGAAAACATCACGTTTTTATTTTTATGTGGTAGTTTTCCCCAAGTTGAATTTCGTTTTTATGGACTCAATAAAAAATAGAGATCATTCTGAAGGGAAAAGTTTTTCCCCAAAACTAGAACCTAAGTGATGTTTTAAGATCATCACCTGGAAATTCTGAAGTTGGAATCTTTTAAAAACCATTTTTAAAACATTTTACCTGCCCTAATTCAATAATTGACTTATTTGATAATTCTTTTCTCTGATTAGATTCTGTTGCCTTTGCCTCATGGAAGAAAGCTGTGGTTGGTAAAATGAGCTGATTCTAGATCTGTACGAAGCAAATATGTGGTGCTGGGGTTCACTGTGGGTCCACTATAGATATGTACATATGTGCAGGCACACCTACATGCACACACACACAAGCACATGCACACACGTATGTGCCAGGCTCCCACACATTCAGACATGCACACACAAGCACACACCTATGTGCCATGCTCACACGCATGTCCACACATACACATCACGTGCATATGTGCACATCACAAGACACGCATGCACACATACATATGTACAATTAAATGGCACCAAAAATGGAAACTTATTTTCAATGACTGAAAAACTGGTTTTGGAGCCTTGTGCTGATGAGATTGTAGTGTCAGAGAGGCGATCCCAGGGAGCAGGAGTGAGAACAGAGACGAGAGGCTCCCGCAGAGGCCTGGGAAGCCGTCGGAGGGCTGTACTATTGATCTATGAAGTGTCAGCTGTGGCCCTGGGGCCGGCCCCTGGGACCTGCTGGGAGCATGAGCATTGCATGTGAGAATGGTCTGCTGAGATCACAGGAGAGACGGCTCTGTCAGCACCTTGGGGTAGGGATGCTGGGGCGACGAGTGCCCTGCACTCTGGGCTGGGTGTCTGCTATGCACGCCCACCGTTGCCACAGCCATGCCGAGTGAGAGGTCACCACGCACAGTGGCTTACGAGACGGGCGTCTGCCATCCTGCCAGGGGTGAAGTTCTGCTGATGGGGGAGAGGAGCAGCATGAACACGGCGTGGGGGTTCCACTGAACAGACAGGATCTGGGAGGGTCCTAGGAGGCAGGAAGCGGTGGAGCCACAGGAATTGTGTCCGTGCTGCTCACACAGACGAGGGCCCTGAGGGCTCAGCGGGACAGGGTGGCCACAGTGGGGTCTGTCCAGCCTCGGCAGCTGTTCAGAACCAACGTCACCTGAGCAGGGCAGAGACAGACCCGTGAGAGCATTTAGATGAAAAGCACGTGGGCGTGATGTAGAGTCGGCCCCACTGCGGCATCCCCAGGTGGAAGAGTTTGGTTAGTTGAGGCTGCAGGTTCTCTCCTCATTCTTTCTATTTAGACAGTGCAATGGTGGCAGATGCTGCTGCCTGATAAACTGGTGGGAAGAGTGTCTGGCTGTGCCTGGGAGTGCGATGCTCACTGCACCGTCTGGGCCTCGGCCGCGCCCCCACCTCCCAGCATCCGCTCACACCTGGACACGAACGTGCCCACACACAGGAGGCCAGTCGCCCACTCTCAACTGCTCCCACTTCTCTTCACATCATTCGTTCACTCCCCATCCTGTACTATTTTTAAGGATTTTCTATTTGATATTCTGTGTAACAGCAATACTGAAAATCATGTTACCTGACACTGTATTTAATATTTATTTATGGCCAGCAAAGTGACATCTCAGTCTGTCTTATCTCCTTTCATATTAAGCAGTAAGTGTGCGGAACTGGAAAGCTGGATGATTTTGTAAGTCAGTTTGAAAAGTCCGCTTGCAACTCTATGGAAATAACATGGTAGGACGTATGCCTGTGCACTCTAACTCTGCAGAAATAAAACGATAGGACGTATTCCTGTGCACTCTAACTCTCCGGAAATAACACGATAGCATGTATTCCTGTGCACTCTTAACTCTCCGGAAATAACACGATAGCATGTATTTCTGTGCACTCTAACTCTCCAGAAATAAAACGATAGGACGTATTCCTGTGCCCTCTTAACTCTCCGGAAATAACACGATAGCATGTATTCCTGTGCACTATAACTAACTTCCAACAGAAGTTACTGTATGAAAATCCCAAAACACCTGCTGGTTCTTCCTGGTCCAGCAAGCCCTGGTTCAGGGAAAACAGCTCCATGTACTGGAGCCTCATTTGGAGCCGATGACGCCTCTGGAGAGCCTCACCCCAGCCCTGCCGGCATCACCACCGAGCAGGCACGGTACCTGGACTACCGAAGGCTGCCCCCTGTCCCACCGACCCCACAGCTTCAGGGTGGTGGGGACGTGGCGAACTCGGAATTCCAGGAGCCAGGGCCCATGGCTGCCCTTCTTTGGCTGTGCAGTGAGGTCCTTGGTCAGAAGCAATGCCGTGTGGACCCCATGGTGGGGTGGGGCTTTCTGAGTCAGGGATGGCAGTTTTGGCCACAGTGTGGCACACAGGGAAGGCAAATCCATGCCCCAGAGTGTCTGTTCCAGTCAGGACAGAAAAGCTCCCCAGGGAGCTACTGCTCCCTGATGGCAGCCTTGGATGTGACCACCTGCTCCAGGCAGCTGGCCGACCCCAGGGGAATGGTGCCACCTTGGGGCTCTGTGCTGGCCTCTGCTGCCAGGTGATGGCACTCGGTGGTGGCGGTAACCAGTCGCCTTGGTGGGTGGCGTCCATGGTGCTGAGTCCAGGACCACTGCCTGAAGTTCTGACCACTGGGGGGATTTCGCCTCCCCACTGCCCTCAGGGATGTCTTGGGCAGGGGCTGCGGTGCTGCCATCCCCCACTTCTGGGTGATGCCTGCACATGGCATAGAACCTTCTGGAAAACTGGCCCGAGTCTACTTGTCTTCTGTCAACTTATCTAGGGAATTCTCCATGAAGCCACAGGTACAGGAGAGAGACAGCCGCGTGGCAGGAGTGGGGACCAGGGATGTTACTTCCTCACTCGTGCCTTCAGGGCTTACACCAGAACCACGTACACGCCACATCCATTTGGTGACGAGAGCAGCTGTGCATGCCGGACTCTATGGCATTGGGGCGTAAGATAAACCCAGCTCATGTGGCAGCTCAGGGCCCATGGTTACATGTGCAGTTTCTACCAGGGCCCAGCAGCAGGCCAAGTTCACACATGAACAACATGATTGCAGGGTTCATGAACACAGCACCAGTCTCTGCCATTTAGGGCCTAAGTAGTGTCCCCCAGTAAAGCTTTATAATTTTGTCTGCTTTGTCTTGAATACAGTAGCCTCCCCCATCAGTGGAGGAAGGCTGGCAAGGTACCCAGTGGGTGCCTGAGGCGGTGACTAGCACCAGCCCCCACGAGGCTCCAACTTTTCTTGCACACACACTGACGGCAACGAGAGATTACAAACAGATAATAAAACAGAACAATTTTAACTACATACTGTAGTAAAATTTAAGTGAACGTGGTCTCCCTTTTTCTCAGAATCTCTCACTGTACTGTACTGAGCTGTTTGCGGGGCAAGGTTGACCACAGGTAACAAACCTGGGAAGGAGAAACCTCGGGTAACGGGGGGACTACGGCGTCCTGAGAGCCGTGTTCTCGTAGACTCTACGTTTTCACTGTGGCTGTACGTGATTATTTTAAATTGTATTTTTAACCGTTTAGGGGTCTAGGGATGTGGTCAATATTGGAATGTTCATTATCGAGCCCACTTCTTCATGAAATCTTTTTGTTTCTAATAATTTGACTTTATTATTAGTTCTTCTTTAAGTGATGGACGTTTCCATCACCCTTCCGTGTCTTGAACCTTCCTTTCCTTTCTTCTGTCATCTACAACCTAATTCCTCCATGGCTCAGTGGGAGCACCGGGGGGCAGGCCTCCCTTTCCAACCCCAGCTCATCTTCCCCATGAAGGCCCATGTCATCTATGGGGTTGATAAGCGTGTTACATGTGAGCGTGTGCTAGAATGAGTGTGTCATATATGAGCGTGGCATGTGTGTGTCATGTTACTATGTGTGAGCATGTCATGTGTGAGCGTGTCCGGTATGCATGTGTGCTACAGTGTGTCATATGAGTGCATCATGTATGAGCGTGTCATGTGTGAGCGTGTCATGTGTGTGTGTCATGTGTGAGCATGTGTGTGAGCATGTCGTGTGTGAGCATGTCATATGTGAGCGTGTCGTGTGTGTCATGTGTGAGCATGTCATATGTGAGCGTGTCATGTGTGCGTGTCATGTGTGAGCATGTCGTGTGTGAGCGTGTCGTGTGTGAGGATGTCACGCATGAGCCTGTGCCATAACGAAGTGCTGACCTGACGTGGTGTTTCCCCGCAGATCACTGTGAGGAGCCCCTCGTGTCCACCCTACCCTCGTCGTCCTTCAGCAGCTCCTCCGAGCTGTCCAGCAGCCACAGTCCCAGCTTCGCCAGACTGAACCGGAGAGACGGTAGGTCCACTTCCCATCTCTTATTGATCCATGGTGGAGCTCATACAGTTTCAAGAATCAGCATCGCTTTTGCTAAGGGGTCATAAGTAAATTAATGCACAGAAAATAAAATTCTGAGTATTATTCAAACAGGTTTGCAGGTATGTTTCTGTTAGAAATGCATAGCGTGTAAATGTTCTATCCATAGATCAAGATTGGCAGTGCGGGTTTCTCTCTGTACTGGTCTGTGGAGGGGACTGGGCAGGACAGGGCATGGGTGGCATGTGCCTAAGCATTGAGTATACCCAGTTCCATATGAAAATGTGCACAGGAAATGGATACACCAGGTTCTATTTATCTTGGAAAACGTATTTTCTATCACAACTATTCCATTTTTTGGGTACACAAGCCGCATTGAGTTATTCTTCTTCAAGTCGAACAGAACTGGAAGCCGTGTCATTTCCATCACAGTTGTGGCCAATTCCATGAAACTCTGAGGGTTTAAAACAACTGAGATTCATTCCCTTGCAGTTCCAGGGGTCAGAGTCTGCAGTGGGGCTCACGGCACTAAGGTCAAGGTGTGGGCAGGGCTGGGTCCTTCTGGAGGCACCCGGAAGCATCTGTTTCCTCCTTCCCATGCCTGGAGGCACCTGTTCCTTGGCTTATGGTCCCTTCCCCAGCTTCAAACCAGCAATGGCCACAGAGTTTTTTCTCCATCCATCCCTCTAGCCCTGGTTCTTCTATCTTCCTCTTTCCCATTTAAATGTGTCTGGATCAGATGATACTACCTCCTTCCCCCTGGATACCAGGATGGCATCCGGGTCAGATGACACTTCTCCCCACTCCCCCTGGATACCAGGATAGTGTCCTGGTCGGACGACGCTGCCCCCACCCCTGGATACCAGGATAGCGTCCTGGTCAGACGACACTGCCCCCTGCCCCTGCATACCAGAATAGTGTCCTGGTCAGATGATGCTGCCCCCCACCTCCTGGATACCAGGATAGCGCCCTGGTCGGACGATGCTGCCCCCACCCCTGGATACCAGGATAGCGTCCTGGTCAGATGACACTGCTCCCCGCTCCCCCCGGATACCAGGATAGTGTCCTGGTCAGATGACTGGCAGCTTTCATGCCTTGTTGCCACACAAGATAGCCCCAACCTAGCTTCTGGGGGCAGATGTGGCATCTTCCGTGGGCTAGTGCTCTGCCCCCCACCGAGAGCTAGAAGAGTGGTCTTAAAAAATGCTTGCCAATTAAAAGCAAAGCAAAATTAATCCCTTCTCTCTGTCGAGAGTGCAAATGTGAAACTGCGTTTATGGCCCTCTGGGCTCGTTTTATTTCCATAGTCGAGGCTTCTTCTCTGGGAGTGTGCTGAGTGGTGTGTGCCCCTGCTTAAAGATAAATGCACAAAACTGAGCCCCAAGTTGCTCTGGGAAAGGAAGGGGTATAAAGCTTACAGAGACAGGGACGAGAGTGCTGCAATTCTTGCAATGCAGGGCAGGAGAGAACATGTATGCACAGATTCCAGGGAGATCCAGCCGGCCCAGTGCTGCTCACATGGGGGGTGCCTGTGCAACCTGGGCCAAGTGGGGAGGACCCAGGATCTTAAGGCCGTGTGGGGAGGACCCCACTGCCGTGTTGGGAGGAATCTCAGGCCGCATGGGGAAGGACCCTAGGGCTGCATGGGGAGGACCCTCAGGCCATGTAGGGGGGACCCCAGGACCCTAAGGCCACATGGGGACGACCCCAGGGCTGTGTGGGGAGGAACCTCAGGCCATGTGGGGAGGACTCTAGGGCCACATTCCACGCTCACTCTCCTGTTTCCTTCTCATCTGTGTGGAGCTGGTGCTCAACACTGGACCACATTTACTACAGTGAACATTGGGTGACACAAAAATACATAATTTGTATGCAATGTTTTGATATTTTACATTTTAATATAGGCAGACTGGTAGATAAATGATGATGTTTCCAAAGTGCTGATTACTGCACAGATCTGCACACATGTGATGACACCTTGTCATTTTGTATTTTAAATTGCAATTTAAAAATTATTTCACTATATAAGGGGTCTTTGGTGAAGAGGTGGCATGAGCTGTGTGAACACAGAGGTCTCTGGCATTTGTGTTGGATACCAGGTAGGAACGGGAGTCCTGGGTTCCTGTGGGAAGTATCTCGCCGCGGGTCATGGCTGTGCACTGGGGTTGGCCTCCCACTGTGACTGCCTCATGGGACAAGCAGTCAGGGATCCCACGGCTTCCCCTGCACAAAAGATTCTAAGCAGAAACAGGGGCCTCCCAGAACTTGGGCTGACACAGTAGCAGGGGCCTCCCTAGGCTCAGGTCAGGACCCCAGCAAGTAAACTCGGGCTGGGACCCCAGTAGGGGCCTCCCTGGACTCGGGCTGGGACCCCAGCAAGGGCCTCCCAGAACAGGCTGGCCACAGTAGCAGGGGCCTCCTGGACTTGGGCCAGGACCCCAGCAGGTAAACTCAGGCTGGGACCCCAGTGAGGCCTCCCTGGACTGAGGCTGGGACCCCAGCAAGGGCCTCCTGGACTTGGGCCAGTAAACTCGGGCTGGGACCCCAGTAGGGGCCTCCCTGGACTCGGGCTGGGACCCCAGCAAGGGCCTCCCTGGACTTGGGCCAGGACATCAGCAGGGGCCTCCGTGGACTTGGGCCGGGACCCCAGCAGGTAGACTTGGGCCAGGACCTCAACGGGTAGACTCAGGCTGGGACCCCAGCAGGGGCCTCCGTGGACTCCTGCTCTCCAGGGGCTCTACTTCCCCTCCACTCACAGGTGTCCCAGCCTCAGCTCATCATGGGCCCCATCTGACGTTTCTTCCTGGGGTGCTGCCCCCACAGGACTGGGCCCCTTAAATGACAACATCCAGGGAGGCTGAGCTCCGGTATGAGCCCCACACCCAGGACCCCTTGCCCTGCAGCAGTGCTCCCCAACCCTCCCCCATCCCCCACACCCTTGCTGTTGCTTCCCCACTACTCCCTCTGGCAGCCCTGGCAGCCCCGCCTTCACACCTGAGCCCACCCCACCTTCACACCTGAGCCTGCTCCACCTTCACACCTGAGCCCGCCCCACCTTCACACCTGAGCTCACCCCGCCTTCACACCTGAGCTCACCCCACCTTCACACCTGAGCTCCTGCTGCCTTCACACCTGAACCTGGCCTACATTCACACCTCAGCCCACCTGACCTTCACACCTGAGCCTGCCCCACAGGATCACAGCCACAGGGCCGACCTGGTGCCATTCTCTGTTCAGAACGCACTCAAAGGAGCTATTCCATGCATGCTTCATTTGGCAGTCTGTCTTTTTCTTCAAATGATATTATTTGAGCCCGATTACATCTGAATTTCTAATATCTGTCTCTAAGTGGATTAGCTTTATCCCTGAACACAAAGCGAGATGCGATTACAGCCACATTCCATGGCCAACTGGCTTATCCACACTGTCACAGCAAAGAAAAGGGATATTTTTGTGCCACTGAAACACAACAAAAGGAGAAACAGTTTAGGAAAATTCATTGTTCATTCTTATTTGAGTCCTAATCATTGTACTCATTTAGAAGACACACAATATTTTTTCTGGAAATAAACTAGAAAAGTCTATACTTCAATCAATTACTCTCAAAGTTTTCACAGCTTATGCAGTGAAAGGGGATAACATATTGAAATCACTAAACTTATCCTCTGCGCTTCTGTGTAAATTTAGGAACAGATATACGTCTGGGCTCATCGCTGGCAGGGTGAGGTTGTCAGCCTGAGTGGCTCGAGGATCAGGGTCTGCCACGACAGAAATCATTTTAAGTCTCTATTTTCCCAGAGCTCATAATGAAGCAAGATATCAACTTCAATGAATTTTATTTGCATGTTAATTAAGTTTAAACCAGCCCATTTTAATTATCTCTTACTTGTTAATTCATTGTTTTTGATTGGGCTTTATTCTATTTTTCTCCCTCTTGATAGCCTGCAGCCCTCAAGAAAGAATTGCAAATTGAGAGTGAGTTATCACAGACCGCAGGGCATTCTGGTGTTTTCGCATTTCTCATTGGGTTGGGATTGGGCTGTGAATGATGGCTGCACGAGTGATCTGGGCATGAACGAGGACACCAATAAAACATAAACTACTCAGCATCAGGAGCACGTAAAAACATTAGGTTTCCACAGCCATGCTGGGACCTCACAGTGAGAGAAGGAACGGGCAGAAAGCCAGCAATGCTCCAAGCACAGCATCTTCCCTGTGGACGGAATCCACTCCAAGACCCCAGGGGGTGCCTGGAATCTCGGGTGGCACCAACATAGAACACGCTGCTGCTTGTATGCACAGATCTACCATCAAGTTTAAATACAAAGTGGGCAGAATAACAGACTAACAACAAAACTAATAACAACATAGAACTATTACAAAATATTGTAATACAAGTTACGTGAACGTGGTCTCTCTCTCTCTGAAAATATCTCATTGTATAGCAGGCCCCTTCTTGAGATGCTCACATGCCCACCTCATGAGAGAGGTGAGCGACCACACACGCTGAGCCATGGGCCACACGACACGTTTCCCTCTGTGGTGGTCCCCGGTCCCTATGCCCTCTGCAGCCATGGGTCATGTGGCACCTTTCCTTCTGCAGGGGCCCGGGTCCTCACACACTCTGCAGCCGTGGGCCACGTGGCACCTTTCCCTCTGTCCTGCCCCGGGTCCTCACACACTCTACAGCTGTGGGCCACGTGGCACCTTTCCCTCTGTCCTGCCCCAGGTCTTCACACTCTCTGCAGCCGTGGACCATGTGACACTTCCCTCTGTGGTAGTCCCAGGTCCACACGCTGTGACGGTGTTGGTGGTCCGGCCTCAGCAGCAGGCAGTGTCCATGACTAATGGTCACCCAGACGACTGAACACACTGGATGAGGGGGTGATTCACATTGAGGCCAACTTCACCAGGCTTCTTAGAGCAGGTGCGATTTAAAGTGGTGAAACATTATTCCTGAAGTTGCTGTTGACCTCAGGTGG